AGGATATCGTTAATCTATATAAATAAAAATGTAAATGTTCGTTTGTTCAAAATCTTAAAATCTCCGAAAGTTCTTCACCGATTGCTTTGACATTTTGACCCAACGTTGCATTCGAATATGCGCGTGTTTTTATATACCTATATTATATAGATGTCACACCTGTGACAGGTAAAAACATGCTTTTTTTTGAAAAAACAGCACCATCTGTTGGACGTAAAAGCAACACACGCTAGCATTGTGAAATTAAACATATTACAAATGGGCGCTTTCTCTTTTATTTCTTTTCCATTTAACCAGACTGAGCCACAGCAACGCGTGGCCAGGTGCAACTAGTAAATAAATCAATCCCGGGAAGGTCCGAGTCCCCGGGGGGAGGGGGGGGCTCAGCCAATATATTGATCCGATTTCATGGCGATCAAGATTTATAAGGGGAATTTGAAAATAACTATCAGGAATCTGCCTTGAACTATTCTTTAGCCCAGAAAATAGAGATGATGGATTTGAGACAATAAAGGTTATTCTATTTTGTAAGTGGTGATCTATTAGGACGAAAAATAGAAAATCTACACCGATTGCTTTGAAATTTTGACACAACGTTGCATTCGAATACGCGCGTGTTTTTTATATACATATACCTACTATTATATAGATGTCACACCTGTGACAGGTAAAAACATACTTTTTTTTGAAAAACAGCGCCATCTGTTGGACATAAAAGCAACACACTTCTTTTCCATTTAACCAGACTGAGCCACAGCAACGCGTGGCCGGGTACAGCTAGTATTTTAAAAAGATATCGGACGTGTGTGAAAAACATAACTGAGTGAAGGACGTACGAATTTAAATTAAAGTAGTAAAATTACATAGAAGATCCAATGAAAGCAAAACCTGTCACATTCACAAGCTCCTCCGGGGAGGCTGAGTGCATCCAGGAGATTGTTAACATTTCCCCCTGGGGGGAAGACTGGGAAGCGATATAGAAGTGTTACGTGCTCGTGCTGTTGCTACCCGCGCTTGTAACATTTCCGACTACACAACGAAGTAAGAATCACAACATCCACGGAGATTCTCAATCATCCAGGACAATCATCGTTGTCCCAAAGGTGCTTTTTTTAGCTATGCCGTTTGGGATGAACATTGCTTTGAACGGTGCGGGCGCATGAACGGACTTCCACAAAACATTGCACATCGCAGGAACTGTCTGCGCTTCGGTTTGAGATGCAGACCACACGGACTCATCCCCAACAGCCTGCGCCTGTCTCCAACCTTTTTAGAAGGGGCTTGCCATTGCCTACTTCCTAGGGCTGAGAGAACGGGACTGGCCCAAGGTCACCCAGCTAGCTGTAGGCCTAAAATGAGACTAGAACTGACGCTGTCTTCAACAGGTGAAGGGATGAATGGACCCAGGGCAGGAAACATCCTGCAGCCAAGAAGGCTCCACACCCATTTGCACCACTCAGGTAACCCTGAGGACGCAGGTAAACGTCCAAGTGGCCTCAAGGACTCTCTAAAAGGAGGCAAATGACCAGCTCTCTGCAAGGAGTATAAATCCTTCCATCCTCCACCATCCAGTCAGAGCTGAAGAAGCTTCTGAGATGAGAAGCAAAACATTTTCAAAGAAAAGCAAGGAGGTCCAGTTGAAAAAGCACCAAAGGGCACAGAAAAACCCCAAGTGGCCTCAACGACCCTCTAAAAGAAGGCAAATGACCAACTGTCTGCAAGGAGTATAAATCCTTCCATTTCCCCACCCTCCAGTCAGAGCTGAAGAAGCTTCTGGGATGAGAAGCAAAACGTCTTCAAAGAAAAGTAAGTCTAGTTGAAAAAGCACTACTGAGGACACAGATAAACCTCCAAGTGGCCTCAACGACCCTCTAAAAGAAGGCAAATGACCAGCTCTGTCTGCAAGGAGTATAAATCCTCCCATTCCCCACCATTCAGTCAGAGCTGAAGAAGCCTCTCGGATGAGAAGCGAAACGTCTTCAAAGGAAAACGAGAAAGTCCAGTTGCCTTCTGAAAAAAAGCACCTTTGGGGTAAGAATCACAACCATTAAAAAAGCCCTTTCTCTCCCCCCCCTTCATGCTCCAACACGCGCCTTACCTGGTGCATCATAAAGGGAACCAGTTCTTGCTCAGGAAGCCGATTCATCAATTCGGCACCTTCTGGCAGAGCGAAAGCTGATTTGGTGTAGCACTGGGACCTCACCAGCGAACAGTACCAATCCTTGCAGGGAAACGAAGGAGATCAGGAACACGTATTTGCATGGACATGACTTGCCACGAATCAACTACCGTGTTTCCCCGAAAGTAAGGCCTACACCAACAATCAGCCCTAGCTTGATTTTGGAGGGTGGGCCTAATATAAGCCCTACCCCCCAAAATAAGCCCTAGTTTTGGGGCGAGGCACACACCTAAGAATCACGCTAGGGCAGGGGTGTGTGTGTGGAGCTGCCCCACCCGCCCTGCACCCGCTTCCCTTGCAGCCAGGCCTTTCCTCGCCGGCCCACGTCTTCTTCTGAGGCCTCTTCTGCAGCCAGGCCTGCATTTTTCAGTCACGGACCTTTCCGGAAGGCCTTATGCAGCCAAGAACCGAACTATGGATTCAATCCGTAGCTCGGTTCTGCAAGACCTCTGCAGCCGAGGGTACTCGGCTGCTTAGGTCTTCTGGAAAGTCCCGACTGCAAAACGCAGGCCCGAATGCAGCTGCAGAACTTCGGCCCCAGAAGAAGCGAACCGGCTGGGTGGGGCTGTCGGTGCCGGAGGTGAGGTAAAGCCTACCCAAAAATAACACCTGGTGCCTCTTTTGGAGTGGGGGAAAAAAAAATAAGACCCCGTCTTATTTTCGGGGAAACATGATTTATTTAGTTATTTATTAAATTTATTGGTCATCCATAACTCTTCAGGATAACTCTTAAGATATAATTTTGAGGGCTAGAGTGGACCAGGGCCAGAGACATTTCACAGCGGTTGCAAATACAATTTAAAAGGCAGCGGATTGATAGGAAAACAACCCAGCCTTACTTTGTCTGGAATTAAAGTTTCTAGAGCGGGATGGTTCCCCCCATCCAGGGGATGTGCCGTAACCAAAGGTGAGGGGCTAATGGTTTCCGGAGCCACCATTAGACGAAACCGGTCCAACAGGGAGTAGAGTCTTTGATGTCTAAAAAAACCCCAAAAACCCCCAGAAATCCACCAGATTAGATACTTTGAGAAAGACCGACTGTAGGAACAGAACACAGGCTTGCCTAGAATCATTAAGACTTGAGAAAGAACTTCTGGAGTCGTGTTTTTCTTAGTGAAGGATTGGGTGGTGCGGGGACTCAGTGGTTAAGATATTGGGCTTGTCGGCTTGAAAGCCGTCACCTGGGTTCAAGACCTGAGCGCCACATGACGGGGTGAGCTCCTGTTTCTTGCTCCAGCTCCTTGCCAACCTAGCAGTTTGAAAGCGTGCGAGTGCGAGTAGATAAATAGGTACCACTTTAGTGGGAAGGTAACAGTGCTCCGTGATGTCATGCTGGCCACATGACCGCGGAAATGTCTTTGGAGAACGCCGAATCAATGGACTTGAAACGGAGATGAGCAGCACCCCCTAAAGTCGCCAAATGACTAGCGGAGTAAAATCCGCAGAGATTCCTTAGCTTTTTAGAGAAGGATTAAACGGGATTCATTTTCGGAGAGAGAGAAAAAGCTTTAAAACTATTTGGCCACTTTCCACACGTCAAATCCATTATGTCTCACCGGTGGGCTAGTCCAGTGTTCTGAAGATATTCCTGTATTCGGTCCAGCTCCTCAACTGGCAACTGAGCCGTGCTGTTCTGTATATATAAAAAAAACAAAAAACAGGAAATGCAATGTACTCGCGCCAGTCTTGAGAATGAAATGTTGAAGTTGCTAACACTGGCCTTAAAATAAATGTAACTCTGAAAGTCAGAGTGAAAACAACTCAACTCGTTTCTGATCTTAGTCTTAGGTTAAAATGTCAAGCGTAGGTTTTATGGATTAATTTATGGAACCGTACAAGGGTAGGAATGCCCATCCTTCTAGGACAGGGGTCAGCAACCTCGGCTCTGTTATGACTGGTGGACTTCAACTCCCAGAGTTCCTGAGCCAGCATGACTCAGCTTGGAAACCTCTCCCTTTCCCCTCAGCATGGCTGGCTCAGGAATTCTGGGAGTTGAAGTCCACCAGTCACAAAAGAGCCAAGGTTGCCTACCCCTGCCATAGACAGTCACATGAGGTGGGTTAGGTTGAGAGATAAGAGGAGACCCAAAGCCCCATCAGGGCTGTGGGAGGGGGTGAGACTAAACCTCGGCCTTCCATGCGGCCAGCTTAGCGCTTGCCCAGATGACGCCACGGGGTACCTGCACAGACGCTGCTAAAAGCATTTCCACGCGACGGCAGGCCAGGGTGTCCACCATGTGGGCCAGCACACGGAAGGGAGTGGAGAGAAGCTTGTCCACGTACAAAACCAGCACGGCCCCCGACTGGCTCAGATGGATGCCCTCCAAACACTGCAGGGTCTTCTTTACCGCTGTCGGCTAAACAGGGGAGAAAACCTCTTTTAGAGTCTTTCTTTGTCCAGGCTAATCGAAGTAAAAGCATCCCAATCTGACTTTTTAAAATAAGTTAAAACCTCCGTAGCTTTGCTTACCCGTAATCCACACACCGATTTCACACCAATTTGGCCCAAAAAGACTCTCCCTCCCCCCAGGGATTAAGAGGAACGGGTTGAGCCTCTGGATGGATTCTGGGACCGATTCTCATCTGTTCAGAAAATCGGCAGTGGGAATACAGGCAGTCTCGACTTACGAACAATATTTCTGTTGTGAAGCCAGCCAGTTGCTAAGTGATTCTTAGTCATTAAGCGGATCACCGCAGTTAACGTTAGGAACACGATTGTTAAGTGAATCTGGCTTCCCTCGTTGACTTTGCTGGTCAGAAAGTCTCAACAGGGGATCACGTGACCCCCGGGGACACTGCAACCATAATAAATACGAGTCATGTCAAGGTAATGATTTAAAAGCTAACCAGCTGATGTATGATGTAATGATGGGAATGACTCAGCAGGGTCTGTGTCTCTTTAAGAGCCTTGTATAAAAGAGATGTGTGCTCTCTCTTCCGTTTCCTGCTGTAACTGCTGTGTGTTGGAGCCTGCTGTATTAGTACGTGTATGTATATTGTAGATAGTGTAAGATAAGCCACCATTTAATACAGACTACTGTTTACTGTGTTTACTCCTGGGTTATCTCAGCGCAATAAGATTGTGCATGCTCTGACAAGTCAGTTGCCAAGCATCCAAATTTTGATCGCGTGACCACCGAGATGCTGTTAACAGTTGTGTGGAAAATGTCCACGGGTCCCTTTTTTCAGTGCCGTTGCCACTTTGACTGGTCAGTAAACGGACCGTCGTTAAGTCAAGGACTGCCTGCAGTTATCCGAGCTCTTCTCCCACCAAGCAGCCAGACCGTCAGCAAAGGAACCAAGGGCAGTAGACGTTCTACAACGGCACCAGGTTCAATTGGACCGATAAGATTTTATAGTCCTGTATACCAGGGGTCCCCAACCCCCGGTCTGCGGCATGCCAGCAACCGGTCCGCACAAACAAGCAAAGCCCCAATCCGCGGGATTCAGGCAGCACACAGAACCACACACACCCTCCGGTCCGTGGAAAAACCTCTCTCCACGGAACCGGTCCCTGGTGCCCAAAAGGTTGGGGACCTCTGCTGTATATGGTTATGTTTATGGTAATTAATTCTGGCCGCAGGACATGCTTATCGCTAAGAATAAAGATCAGGAGAATCTAGGCAGCCAGTAAGTCAGAGGAAAAGCGACAGGGCGTTTACACATTCCTAAGTTTTTGTGTAGTCGATGTGGATGCCCGGCGACTGTTTACAGAGGTTCCTGCAGAGGTTTTTTTGGCCAGAATCCAGAGGTGACTTTCTCTTGCCTTCAGCTTAGGGCTGAGAGAGAGAGGGACCGGCCCGAGGTCGGTCACCCTAGTGACCGGCTTCATGCCTCAGGCAGAATTAGAACTCACGACTCCCAATTTGTAGCCAGGTGCCTTTGCCAGAACAAGCAATGGCCAAACGATTGCTAGATGTTGCCTCCTGCTTCGGGAGCCTCAATAATTGAAGTATGTTGTTTTCTTTTAAACATGAATATCTTTCTTTTTTTTAACCGCAGAAACAGGAGGTGCGGTTTGCGCAGGAGTTCGTCATCAGAGAAAATCAATCTTGAGACCACAAAGAACTTACAGAGGCGAAGTTCTCACATCGTGACTGGATAGCCTGGATGAAAAGCCCGCTGGCGGCCGAGTTTCTGTGAATGGCGCTTATAAAATCCTGGACCGGGGGTTCATGAGACAGACTGATCAGTTCCTGGACGTGATTCACGGTCAGCCAGGTTAAGTGCTCGGAGTCGTGCAGGTTTTGGCACTGTGGGAAGAAATGGGATCGATTGACACGGAGCGGAAGGAATGACAGGGTGTCAGGGAAGACTTTCCCAAAGCGCCTGAAGGCTGGACAAGAAGCAACACATGGAAAATAATCAAGGAAAGAAGCAACCTGGAACTAAGGAGAAACTTCCTGACAGTTAGAACAATTAACCAATGGAACAACCTGCCTCCAGAAGCTGTGAATGCTCCAACACTGGAGGTTTTTAAGAAGAGACTGGACAACCAGGGCCTGAGCAGGGGGGGCTGGACTAGAAGACCTCCAAGGTCCCTTCCAACTCTGTTATTCTGTAAATGTAGACAGAGTCTCTGGGTCTCTTTCTCTTGCTTTCCCCCCTTGTCTGGATGAAGATACTTTTTTTGTAACAGACATGCTCGCTGCTAGATATCCCAGCATCCTAGAAAGCTTGAGCCGGTCAGGATCGAACTGCTGGCATTGGGCAGAGTTACCTTGCAATACTGCATTCTAACCACTCGGAAGGAAGGAAGGAAGGAAGGAAGGAAGGAGAAAAGGTAGAGATCTAGCAATAGCACTTAGACTTATATGCCGCTTCACAATGCTTTACAGCCCTCTCTAAGCGGTTTACAGAGTCAGCCTGCTGCCCCCAACAATCTGGGTCCTCATTTTACCGACCTCGGAAGGACGGAAGGCTGAGTCAACTTTGAGACGGTTAGGATATCAAACTGCTGGCAGTGGGCAGAATTAGACTGCAATACTGCATTCTAACCACTGTGCCACCATGGGAGGGAGGGAAGGAGTGAGGGAGGGAAGAAAGGAAAGAAGGAAGGAAGGAAGATAGCAATAGCACTTAGACTTATATACCGCTTCATAGTGCTTTACGACCCTCTCTAAGCGGTTTACAGAGTCAGCCTCTTCCCCCCCCCCCGCAACAATCTGGGTCCCCATTTTACCGACCTGGGAAGGACGGAAGGCTGAGTCAACCTTGAACCGGTCAGGATCGATCTGCCAAACTGCAGGTAGCTGGCAGTCAACAGAAGCATCCTGCATTACTTCATTCTGAGTCGTGCACCACCACGACTCAGTACTAGACCTGCCCATGGTTCACCAAGTGCAATTGAAGATGCTGGCTGCTATCTACAAAGTCCTTATGAGAGGACTGGAAACTTGAGAGTCTTAAAATCAGCCACGGCAGTTTAGATAATTCTTTGCACAAAAAAGAAAAAGTGAGGGGGGGGGAACATCCTCAGAGCTTACCACATAGTCACAAAACAGGATGAGGGATCCCCTCCGCACGATCTCTCGGTTGCAGATGCTAAGTTTGGCGCCCCCGTCTTCTGCCCGGGGACCCCCGCAGGCTTGAGGGCTGAGCAATTTAGCACTCGATAGGCTCTGCCTTCTGGAAAAGAGAAGGAAAAGCTTTTAACTGCACAATCCAGGAGTAAAATAGCCAGAGAGAAATAAGGAAGAAACAGATAGGAAAATCTGCCGGGATAAAGGCAGCCGGATAGTGAGAAGCGGGTCCAGCAGCCAGGAATGGAACCCAAAGGACGATGGGTTGGATTCAGGTCAGTGACAGATCACCAGAGAAGCTCAGATGTTGGTTCCTCTAGGCCAGAGGTCCTCAATCTGTGGGGCCACGGCCCGGTAGAGTGGGGGCCACACCCCAACTTGCGGTAGTGCCACGGGTGCAAAAACAGGACGCTGCTGCGCCTTGGGGTGCAAAAACGGGACGCCACTGTGCCGCAAAAAACGGGGCACCGCTGCGCTGTGGAAAAATAGGATGCTGCTGTGCCGCGGGGCGCCAAAATGGGACACTGCCGAGCTGCGGGGTGCAAAAATGGAAGGTGCTGTGCTGCGAAAGAATGGGGCAGGGCTAGTATCACGCATGCTCACAGCCCCATGTGTGTGTGTGTGTGTGTGTGTGTATAGAATTAAGCCATGACATCGGCTGGATTGGAGCAGGATATCTATATATCTATAGATAGATAGATAGATAGATAGATAGATAGATAGATAGATAGATAGATAGATAGATAGATAGATAGATAGATAGATAGATAGATAGATAGATAGATAGATGATAGATAGATAGATAGATAGATAGATAGATAGATAGATAGATAGAGATAGATACACATATACACACACACACATATCTCCAACCTGAACAACTGAGGAATCCAAATCCATCTATCAATCTAGCCACACAGAGTCACCGTATCATTGAGATGGGCCGCATAAAAACTTAATTAAATAAATTTAATTAAAATATACATACATGTATATTTTTACACTCAGTTGATGCCACGGCTTAACTCTCAATCCACCTTACCAGCATCGAACTAGCACGTTCCAGGCTTAGGACTTGACAAAAACAAAAGCTGAGATGTTTGCATTGTGCATCGAACATCCCTCTGGAAACAAAGCCTGCTGGACAACATAAATCAATCCCAAACTTCTACGTGGCCTCTATCCAGATGACTCCTTAGCCGAAACGTCCTACCCAACTGTAGCCAACAAGCCACCAAGGAAGAGGGGGGGGGGAGAAACTGCCCCAAGGAACCTCAAGCTTCCTTACAACTAGACTTGTCCTAGTGGACAATCCCTTAAATATGAGCCAGCCGTGTGCTGCAGCTGCCAAAAAGGCCAACACAGTGCTGGGCTGCATTAACAGAGGGATAGAATCAAGATCACGTGAAGTGTTAATACCACTTTGCAATGCCTTGGTAAGGCCACACTTGGAATACGGCATCCAGTTTTGGTCACCACGATGTAAAAAAGATGGTGAGACTCTGGAAAGAGTACAGAGAAGAGCAACAAAGAGGATCAGGGGACTGGAGGCCAAAACATATGAGGAACGGTTGCTGGAATTGGGTATGTCTAGTTTAACAAAGAGAAGGACGAGGGGGGACATGATAGCAGTCTTCCAGTATCTCAGGGGCTGCCCCAAAGAAGAGGGAGTCAAGCTATTCTCCAAAGCGCCTGAAGGCAGGACAAGAAGCAACGGGTGGAAACTCATCAAGGAGAGAAGCAACTTAGAACTAAGGAGAAACTTCCTGACAGTGAGAACAATTAACCAGTGGAACTCCTTGCCTCCAGAAGCGGTGAATGCTCCAACACTGGAAGTTTTTAAGAAGAGACTGGACAGCCATTTGTCCAAAATGTTATAGGGTTTCCTGCCTGAGCAGGGGGCTGGACTAGATGACTCCAAGGTCCCTTCCAACTTTACTATTATTATTATTATTACTTTCTGGGTGATCCAGTTCTTCAACAGGAAGGGGAACTGTGAAATGGGAGCAGGAAAACAAAACAGCTCTCACGTTAGCTGCTAAAATTGGAATCAGGAGTAACTTCCAGTGGGGAAAGAGTTTTTGAAATCCACACGGCGTGAACGTTTGTACACCGGAGGGCAAGATTTGAAAAGCCAGGGGCGGCGTCTGAAAACCAGGAAGTAACCTTTGGTTTGGACCAAGAAAAAAAGACCGGAAAAACAGCCTTACTTGGGCGTCTGATGAACTTTGGACCACCAGCAGGAGTCGGTGTAGTTCACAAGCAGCAAGATTTGACACCAGAGAAGGACCAGCGATGGGTGGGTGGCTATCATGGACTTGACGAGGTCGTTTAATCTCTCCAGGGTGTAGAAATGGAGACCGTGGGGTCCGTTCCCTGTAAAAAGCTTGGTAGCTGCAGCTGTGATTCTTCGGAACATTCCTGTTAACACCGAAACAATAAAAAACAACAACACATTATTGTAAATAAGTTCCAACCGATAAGACGCGGTCTTATTTGGGGGGGAGACAGAGTAGCGTGAAGGGGGGCAAGAAAAGGGATGAGGAGTACCTGATTTGAAGGTATGAATTAAGCAGATGAGAAGGGTGCCCAGTTCCTGGCAGTAGAACGTGTGTTGCTGTTCGCTCATCTCCACGTGCAACTGTTTGCTCGTGATGTCTTCCAGGAGGATTCCCACCAGTTGCATTAGGAATCTGAAGAGAGAGAGAGACGTAGAGGCCGGGCGCTAAGCACAGAAAAGATAAACGGCGACTGTGCCAAGAGGAGAAAAGGAAAACCTATATGCACCACCAGCCGTGCGGGGCGTACGTCAATCTTCTTTCAATCCATCCGAATAGAGCTGGAAGGGACCTTGGAGGTCTTCTAGTCCAGCCTTCTGCTCAAGCAGGAGACCCTGTGCCATTTCATCCAATCACTCCATCCATCCATCCATCCATCCATCCATCCATCCATCCATCCATCCATCCGAATAGAGCTGGAAGGGACCTTGGAGGTCTTTTAGTCCAACCCCCTGATTAAGCAGGAGATCCTAGACCATTTCAACCAATCACTCAATCCATCCATCCATCCATCCATCCATTCATTCATCTGAATAGAGCTGGAAGGAACCTTGGAGGTCTTCTACTCCAACCTTCTGCTCAACAGGAGACCCTGTGTCATTTCAACCAATCACTCAATCCATCCATCCACCCACCCATCCATCCATCCTAACATCCATCCATTCATCTGAATAGAGCTCGAAGGAACCTTGGAGGTCTTCTACTCCAACCCTCTGCTCAAGGAGGAGACCCTATGCCATTTCATCCATCCATCCATCCATCCATCCATCCATCCATCCATCCATCCATCCATCCATCCATCCATCCGAATAGAGCTGGAAGGGACTTTGGAGGTCTTCTACTCCAACCTTCTACTCAACAGGAGACCCTGTGCCATTTCAACCTATCACTCCATCCATCCAAACATCCATCCATCCATCTGGAATAGAGCTGGAAGGGACCTTGGAGGTCTTCTAGTCCAGCCTTCTGCTCAAGCAGGAGACCCTATGCCATTTCATCCAATCACTCCATCTATCCATCCATCAGAACAGAGCTGGAAGGGACCTTGGAGGTCTTCTAGTCCAGCCTTCTGCTCGAACAGGAGACCCTGTGCCATTTCAGACAGGTGTTTTGCCTTCTTCAAGGTTACATTGATTATGCAGGTAGTCCTCGACTTACAACACTTCATTTAGTGACCGTTCAAAAATGACAACGGCACTGAAAAAAGGGACTTACGGCTGTTTTTCACACTTAACGGCCGTTGCAGCATTTCCCCCCCCCACTTGGTCACGTGATCCAAATTCAGATGCTTGGCAACTGACTCGTACTTTATGACGGTCGCAGCGTCCCTTTGGGATCACGTGATCCCCTTTTGTGACAAGCAAAGTCAAGGGGGGAAGCCCGATTCACTTAACAACCGGGATACTAACTGATCAACTGCAGTGATTCCCTTAGCAACGGAGGCAAGAAAAGTGGGGCAGGACTCATTGAACGACTATCTCGCTTAACGACAGAAACTTGGGGCTCAACCTCTTATTAGCGCTGCAGATTTTCTGAGCCGGTGAGAATCCAGAGGCTCAGCCTGCTCCTCTCAATCCCCAGGAAAAAAAAAGGGGGGGGAGAAAAATCTTTTTGGGCCAAGCTTCCCTTCCAAATTTGTGTGAAATCTGTGTGAGCTACAGGTAGAGAAAAGGGACGGAGGTCGTAAGCTGAGGACTACCTGCGTACATTTTCCTCAATTCCTCCTTTATCTTTTTTATTTTTAACAATTTAAAATAAATAAAAAAATAGCAGCAGCTCCTTAATCGATTTTTATACCTGGAAAAGGTCTCTTCGGGCAGGAAGCGCTCGTGCTCCTCCGGGGGGGTCTCCTGAGCTCCGGGAACGTTGTTTCCCCCGTTTCTCAGCCGGTGAATCGCCTGGCAGGAGATGAGCCGGGGGGAAAAGGAGAGCTCCTGGATGCGGGAAAGGACGATGTCTTCCGTGGACTGGGAAATCAAGACCCGCAGAATGGCCAGAATGCCGGAGACCCATAACTGGACGGTGCTCACGGAAGCCTATTGAGAGGGAGAGAGAGAGAGGGAGACTCAGACAAAGTAATTTAAATTACTCCTTCCTTCCTTCCTTTCCTCCCTCCCCCCCTTCCCCTC